CCCTAAGTGGGTTTTCCCCAGAGGTGGGTTCCTACCAGTTCGCACCTATTCGGTAGAACCGGTTCGTCAAATCTACCGAATCGGTTAGAAGAGGTTCCGCCAGTGGACCCGGAAAGCAGGCCACACCTACAGAGTAGGTTCGAACAATTTTTGAAACCCACCACTGATGTGCGTGCTGGAAGAGCAGCTGGCCACTGTGCTAAGGCCTGTGATTTCACAGCTTGTAACATCGGTCAGTTAGAAAGCTGATTAATAGTGAAGTCTAAACTATATTCAGGCACATCTGCTTGTGCACATAATGTCCTAAATTAGCAGGCTAAACCGCCTCGGGGATGGGAGGCCCTTTTCGCCCTCCCCAAGCTCCAAGAAAGCCATGCTTTTGGCAAAATAGCCGTTGAATTTTGCTAGTGACACAACTTTCTGTTCATCTTTTCAGGGCACAGTAACAACGGAGGATGCTGCCGTGCAGGTCACCGAAAGGGAAGGGATTCTACCAGATCCTGAGCAGAAAGGCTTCCGCAAGCAAGCCGTGGAGCAAGATTGCGGACTAATGGCTGCCTTTGGTAAGCTGCCCCTCTTGCACCTATTATGAAATCACACCAGGCTTAGCCACACGGAAGACGATCCTGAATTACAGCTTGCTGGATTTGGTTCGGGCCTTTTGGTTTCCCAAAAGGGCTTTGGCTAGCTTCCTGTCTTCTCTGCAGAAGCCGATAAGTGGGCAGTCGAGAGAAAAGAAGACCCCTCGGTGGGGCTGTCAGAAGGAGATGGCGTTAAAAAGAGGGAGAAGCAAAGGAGAAAATCGGTACCGAATCGGAAAAGGATGATGGAGCGGAACGAATGCCCCGCTTCCCAGAGCAGCAACTTCCATCAGAATGCAGTCCAAGAAAAAATAGAGAAAATGAATAGTAAGTGCCAAATGCTGGGTCCCTGCTTCTTTAGCAATAGACCTATGTACTACTTCGTAGTGCTTTTACGGCCATCTCTAAGCAGTTTATGGAGTCAGCATATTGCCCCCAACAATCTGGGTCCTCCTTTTACCCACCTCGGAAGGATGGGAAGCTGAGACAACCTTGAGCCTGGGGAGATTTGAACTCCTGGAGTGAGCAGTGAGTTAATCTTCAGTACTGCATTCTAACCACTGTGTCACCACAGCTCTGGTGTTTAAATCTGGTGTTAAGAAGATGTTTACAATTCTTTGGGTAGAAAGCACACAAACACACACACACACACACACACAAACACATACATACATACATATCAGGCAGTTATATTTGGGCATACCAGGGGTTGTGACACAATACATACATACATACATACACACGCATACACATACACACATACATATACACAAATCTATCAGGCGTGCCCAATCTTGGAGGAGAACCTTGTGGCTTAGTGGTTAACACATCTGCCTAATATGTAATACAGCATAAATACAACACAAATGTAACAAAGGCAACAGTAAAAATATTGGGTTTCTGTCTGGATGGTCTCTTGTGATGAGCCGATAGACAGAGAAAGGAAGCAGTATGTCTCCTCCCACATTTGGGCATACCAGGAGTTGTGACATTAAATACATACATACATACATACATACATACATACATACATACATACATACATACATACATACATAC